TCTCTATGTCCCTCCCTGTGTCCTCATCTGCTTACGTCTTTTGCTCTTTGACTCATTCGTTCTCTCTCTTTGGCCCTCTTCTTCGCTCTGACTATGTCTTCTTCTGGCTCTCTAGCTTTTGTTAATGTGGGCCTGGCTTTCGCTCTGTGCCCTCGTATATCATCCAAAGTTCAGAATGAGCGTTACGAAAATAACACAACAGCATGAATTCGCGGCGAACCTTTTTTCTCCCAGCGCCGGAAATCTCTGCCTCTTCCCTCATCACGGAGTCCGGATCAGGCGTTCTTGTGTGTAACCTCGTCTATATTGCTGTCTCTGGGAATCTCAGAGACATCATTATTTTTTGGGGCCCGCATGCCTTTTTTTGGGTCTACAGTGTTCCTAGAGTGGTGCACACGCATGCAGACCGGCATGCGGGCCCAAAAAAATAATGATGATTAAAACAGAAGGACTTGAAGTCCTGAAAAGCGCCAAACAGGGGTAGAGTAGATGGGAAGGCCGGGGAAGGAGGAGGAGGAGGAGAAGATGGAAAAAAAAGACCCTCTGGGAAGGGGAAGAGGAGGGGAAGAGCAAAAACGGGTGGTCATACGAGAAGTCGGCCGCTACGCAAATAGTACCCCTCTGGGAGAGGTGTGGCATGAATTTTTTTGTGCTTCAAGTTTCCCACAACCGGCATCCTGCTGGATGCTGAAGATTCTGAGCTGAGACTCAAGAAGCAACATCACCCTGCTGTGCCTGCCTGTTGGATGTTTGTGATTTCCCTGGGCCACGATCGCCAGAGTGAATGGAATGCTATTGTTCATCTGGTCGTGGAGACGTGGAGAGACTTTTGGAGAAAGAAAATGAAAAAGAAGGAAGAAGAAGAAAAGAAAGAAAGCGATATGAAGTAGAGGGCGGATGGTGGATAGGTGTGTGCAGGGCGACATGCGCTAACGATGAAAGTGAACGCATGGCTTCGTGTTTGTGGTGTGATTTTGTAACAGAAAACGGAGAGGAGACACAGTTTACACATACGCAGAGAGAGTCATAGCCACTTGCAGACTGTGTAAAGTCGTTGGTGTCAAATTTTTTCCCCTCAATTGTCCCCCTGTGGAATATTCCTGCCAAAATGCCGATGATTCCCGCCAAACAGTGGGTCCCGGCGGTCATTGGATCCTGCGTGATCTCAGGAGTCTTCTGGCATCTAACGAAAAATGTCAAGATCTTTGGAGGTGAGTTATGTGTCGATAGTGTTTACCCATGAGTTATTATTTCATGCGATGTCCTCCTCCCCCCTCTTCCTCACTGCTTGTTAGCACCTTTCCCCCCCTCCTCCCCTCCTGCTGCTTGTGCTCTCTTCCCCTCCCAGGGCTTTGCTCAGGGTTCCCTTTGTAAGTTCTCTTTCCTCCCGGATCTCTTCTCCTGCCCCGTCTCCGGTTCATCTCTCCTCTCTTGCGCTAGTGACATCTTATTTTTCTCCTCTTGGTGCTGTAATTGTTTTCGCCTCCCTTTCTTCTCCAGTATCCACGTCTGGTGGGTTTTCGCTTAGTGAATTTCTCCTATCCAGGGGTCTGTGTGTGCATGTGTTTTTTATCCATCTCTAAAACTTCGTTTGCAGTTTTTCTCGCCCTCGTCTTGTTTCCCCTTCTGCTGGCCAAAGTCTCCAGCTGGCCGGCTGTTTCTGTTTTGTGGGCTCTACTGTTATTTCCTTTCCTTTTTTAATTAAGAAGTGCGATCTCCTTGAGGTATTGTCGATGAACTGACTGGGCCCTGGAAAATTTGGAGTTTATTTGAGTCATTTGATTCCATGAGGATTGAAACTCACGTCTGTGTATCAACAGTTCATTGGTGTACCGTTCCGCCACATGTGAAAAGCCCGTTGGTTCATATGTGCATGTTCACTCTTCTTTTTTCTGATCTGTTCTGATGTGCATCTGGTTATGATCCTGCCCAATTCTTGGTGCATCTTGGATGAGCAGCATCTCGATGAGGGGCCCACACCACTTTGCGAAATCATTGCCTGACACATGGTGCTGCGCACATTTTTTTGTCCAAAAGGAATACTTTGCACACCTGCTTCCCAAATAGACTCAAGAAGTGAGGCGATGTGATCAGTGATTCAAGTAATATGCCGTCTTGTGGATTCTCACATGTTCGTGAACATGTGTGAAATGCCTACAGGAGAAACGCCACGTACCCTCACAAAGGAATGGCAAGAGGCAACGGATAAAATGATGAGCAGTATGCCTCGTGAAGGTGGTCCTAATGTTATTGTGAACCCTATCAAACGGCAAAACTACCGATAAATTCCACTCTGCCGCTATCCGGCGTCGATGAAGACCTGTGGTCCAGGTAAGTGGGGAGAGTAGCTCGCTAGATGTTTTTTCCAGCCCATCAAAGATATTGCTGCAGGATGGCAGCGGCTGCTGGGTACGGTTGCGGGCTATGGCCGATGCCGCTTCTCGACAGGAGATGTGTTGTCTTTCCTGCGGCGACATGGGTATCAAAGGTCAGTGAAACACAAGTGAGGTGCACATGCTAGGAAGGGGAGGGAGAGGGCGGTGCGGGGAGGAGGATGATTTGGCAGGCACAAAGGTTGCAACCTTCTCTTCCCTTCTCCCTTCTCATCGGTTGATGGTTTTCACGACTCGTTGATCATTTATTGAAAGTATAGGCTGTGTATTGGACGCTTGCATTCTTTTGCAGGCAGGCATGGACTTTTGTCTACAGCAAGTCATATAGCACAGATAGTATGTGTTTTGTGTTTTTACCCGCAGGAACGCTGTTGTTGCGAATTGCTGAACAAAGTTCAAACGAACCGTTGTCGTGTTGATTTCTCAATTGACCGATGCTGTACAGTTCAGGTGGTAGATGGCTGTGTGTCGTCGATGCTGTGTTGCAGTGCTATGGACAGCATGGATGATAGATCTTGGGCTTAACTTTGCTAACTTTGTGATTCTCCTTGCGACCGTTTCATAGGCCTCTGAACTGAAGAGGTTGCGGCATGCCCAGTTTCTTTTTGAAAGCTTTTTCACTATGATGACAGTATGATCTTCTTATTTTGTGTTGTCTGGAAACTCAATGGGAATGACGTAGGCCCAATGATGCCCCTCTCCTCTCTGTCCCCTCCCCC